GAAAAAAACCCCCCACAACACCCCCCCCCCCCCCCCAACCTTCTGAATAACTGTCCACCTAAATAAAAAATCTAGAAAAAATATCTTAAAATACATTCAGTTAAGGTATTTGAGGTGTTTGGCCTCTGGGTGTTGGTCATTAATACATAGGCTGTTGCCCATTTTCCATTCCAAATATATTTACCTCAGGTAAATGCTCATCACTGCTTCATACTTGTACAACTTCTGTACTTAACTGCTCTGTAATGATCTTCTTTGGGAAACTAATGAAAAAAATGCTATGTGGAAGTGGATCCAAACATTTAAGCACATTTGAATGTCTGGAGTGGGAGGAACTGGCCAGTAAGATGTATCTGAGAAATTTATACTGTACCTTCCCTATGAAAAAATTGGCTCTGTTTTAGACCACAGCTCAGTACAGCACTTTGGGTCTGTGTTTCCTTTCAAACATATGGATTAGATTCACTGATGTCAGCAGGACTTTCCACATTTTAAACCGAGGTACGTGTTCAAATATTTTTCTTTTGGGGCCAACAGATCATTTCCTGTTCCCGGGGTTATACAGAACATTCCCCACAAAAAGCACCAGAAAGGAAAGTAAATCTCTTCCTCAGCACCCCCTTCCTCTGAGCCAGCCAGGGCTCTTCTTGCAGGGGTATTGGGGCAAAAAATAGGCTTTATTTAGTGCTTGAGCCAGGCTGAACTCAGCGGTGAACTCTGGCAGCACTCTTGCAATCTCTCATGCTCAGGAATAACTTTACCCTCCTGGGCAGCTGCTGAGAATTAGTTCCATCAGTTTTTGCAAGAGCAGAGTTTTTTGTGTGCACGTGCACTTGCAGCATCAATCTTACCCTGTTGGGACACCCCCGTCTGGTGTCTGTCCCCCATGTGTGGCTCCACTGCCTGTACCTCACCTCCCTACAGTTAGCACTTACATTTGTGTATATTTTAAACATCAGGAGAAGACAAATTTAACTTACAATGACCATTTATTTAAAATTACCTCTACTTTGTTTAGCTGGGATGTAATGTCATGCTAGCTTTCTGAGACAAGCTATGTTGGAATGTAATGCACATATCTACATATGTATTTTATTTCCCCATGGTGGAAAAAAAAAAAGGTTAAGAAGCCGTTTCACAGTTATATATCTGGAGAAGAAGAAACGATGGCACTTGTCTTGCATTCAACCTATGAGAAATCTGTGCTGATTTAAGGACTCAGGATAGTGAAATACAGTGCCTAATTACAAATAATTATTTATGTTCAAAATTCTTGGCACAGATGATGGGTCACAGTGCAATTTTAAAGCACTGGATTTCAGAAGGAGTTTTTTTGCCAGAGAGACCAGACGGCTGAAAGGAAAAATTAGAAAACTAAGTTATCTGAGAAGTTACTCAACACTTTAAAGTGGAGAAAAATCACAATCAGAGGAAGATCTCTCCCATCTTTTACACTTTTAATGAAAGGTTAATACAGTTGAGGGGAAGAGCAAAACCCAAGAGAGAGACACTATATTGTCCATTTGGACTAAACCATCTGCAGAGACCACTAGGCAATCGTAAGAGATGACTCCCAGAGCCTGTGCCTGGGTTCAGAAGGCTGCGTTTCCCTGCAGTCACCAACTGATGCACGTGAACCAATCTGAAGTAAAACATTTATTTCGTTTTGCTGACTGAAGGCAAACCTACCCGCCCATCCCGAGCGAGCCTCTGGCAAATCCCACTGCACTATAAGCAAACAGTGGCACATCGTGTCTAGACCTCTGGGTCCCAACACGCACCGTGCTGCCCTGCAGGGGAGAGCACTGCTTCTTCCTGGGCAAAACAACGTGCCCTAGGATAGGGGGTACGGACGGAGGCCCCCCCAGGTTTCAACCTGCAAGATGGAACGGCCCTCGGAGCTCGGTGACACCCGCGCCGTGTCACAAAGCGCTGTGCGCCCCGAGAAGGCTGGCAGAGCCCCAGGGCTGCTCGGAGCGGCCGCTGGAGAGCCCGAGGGAGCTGCCTGAGCCCAGGGCAGGATGGAGTTTCTGGGCACCACGCAGACAGCCAGCTACTGTGGCAGAAGGAAGAACTGCCTGCTGCCAGATCTAGCTCCCACCAGCACCACCAAGGAGACCTATCAGTCCTACTGCCTTCCAGGCTACCGCTACCTCAACTCCTGGAGGCCCAGTCTGCTGCACAAAGTGGTTTTGGTCCCTGAAATCTCCGACAAGGAATTTAATTGCAGTGGGCGGCCGCCCACTATTCTGCCTGCGTTACGCTCCAGCCTGCACACCCGCTACAGCACTCGTGACTGGCACCATGCGAACGCGGTTCAGTTAAAAGGCTCCGAAGCCTCCAGGTACTGTGCCAGTAGACTGAACACTGATTCCATGAGACTGATGCAAAACAAGGATCAACTGACTTTTCTGATGCAAGAAGACAGTAAAAGAAACCTGGGAGAGAGGATCACCAACATTGATTTCTGGAGATCTGAGCTCATCCATGAGCTAGAGTGTCTGGTGAAAGAGACTCAAGCCTTGGAAACAGTAAAGCAGCGGCTCGATGCTGCTGCAGATGCCCTGCAAGGACCACTGAAGGTAGGTTTGACACAGCCTGTTATTTCACGACTGTACTGTGGAACGGGTACAGAAAATGGCTTTACCTCTGTTGAATACTAGTATAGCTTTTACTGACACATCTTGGTGAAAGGTTAACCTCAGTAAGAAAACCTGGCCACCATGGGCTTTCTATAGAAAAGTCAACAAAGGAACCTGCACACACACTTCTAGGCTGCCTTTTCCTTCCTTTCTGCTTGAGGGTCCAGGAGGCCGAGTCTCCCTCAGGCACTGACCGGTCACTCAGTACATTACAGGAGAGGAGAAGATGGCCCTCTAAGCCGCAATATCCCAATATTTTTATTTTTATCTATTTTTAATCTGAATTTTCTGCTATTGCTTGGTGAAAATAGTATTTTCACATAGGATGGAATATAATTTGTGCTACATTGTGAAGTTCTACAGAGTCTTAAAGGTAAATTAACTGCAACAAAAAAGCAACAGTAATAAAAGAGTCAATGAATGATGCTAGCAAAAACTCAAATCACGCAAGAACTAGAGTCCAAGTTGTCTCATAAACATCTGGAGTATTGCTGATGGAAGCTATGTCTACCATAAATGTTTCTAGGCAAGTACAAATAGAAACTCAAAACTCAGTATTCAATAATGACATTTTTAGTTGTCTGTATCTATACTGATTCAGAGTGGCAGGGTGAGGATGCTTTCTATTCAGGGAACAATTTCTGCTGAAAGGCTTTGTGCCAGCTCATGCTGTTTCATTTATTACTGTGGTTCTAAAGAAGAGGATGAGACAATTAAAAGTAAAGTTAACCTGCTGGAGCAGGTTAACTGAATTTCCTGTTTAATGATGGTAGTTATGCAGTCATTCTCTTGTATAGGTATGAAACTTTCCAACTTTGGCATTGGATGAGGGAGGATGAGGGGAGATGAGATTAAAGGATTTTCCTGTGGATGAGTAGAACACCACAGGTGTTTTAATCCACACAATTTACAACAAAATTGGGCATGTTGAGATGTAGGCCTTGCTTGCTGCATCTTAATA